TTTGTTAAAATTAAATCTAATGTTTTATTCATTTAGTCAATCCAATAAAGTAATTAATTAATGATTATTATTTAAATAAATAAATAAAAATGAATAAGAATCAATTAATTGATAATCAAATCCTAAAATATCTGAAGTTAATGCTTAAAACTTGTATATAATGGTATTTAATATTTTAAGTTAAGTGCGAATTAATGGACTCTATATCCTAATTTAAAAAGCTAAAGTAAAAGGTGGAAAAAACTATGTGGATAGGTCAATCATTATTAGGCATTCTAGTAAAGTATTAGGTGAATAATTTTTTTTTTTTTCTGGTATGAAATAGAAAGTAGGTAATTTATTTAAGGTTTTGATTAATATCCGAATAGATTGATATGTAAATCGCCATTTAATAGAGGTTCAGATAAGGGAAATAAATATTAGTGATTTTAATTTACTAAACCAAATAGAATTGCATTTCTTAGTGAAACTACAAAGGAAACGAATTTTTCTTTAAGTTATCTCCTTCAAAAGTTCACATTATATTTGGTTTATATTTATCTAATCTTAGTTCTCGGGTTCTCAATCTAGAAAAGTTTATTTCTATCCAAATAAAAATTATTCTCTCGTTTTCCTATAAATTCCTTCAGTGGATTTAAGACAGAACCATTATTATTACTTTACTCCAATAGAAATCATTACTCTCCTAACTTTCTCAAAATTCAAAATAAATAATTGATTTTTTAATTTTGATCTGTGTTTAGATCATAAAAATTTTAATATTACATTGCAGCTGAAAAATTGATATAGTTATTACTAATTGATTATTCATTTTAATAAAAATAAAAGATAATATGGTAAGAAATGAAAAATAAATAAAGAACAACAATTTTTAGTCTTGATGCTGATACTGTGATTTACTTGATTAATAAACATTGCAGATAAGTTGACTTCAATAGGCAAATATACGATTTTCTCAAAATTATCTATAATTGGATTGATAAAAAAAGGTAAATAAATTAGTAGAGAATAAAATCATTAGATCAACTCAAAGGAAAGTAATACGAAATTTATAAAGATGATACAATAATTATATAGCAAAATATAAGTAATCAACAGAAGATGCTTTTAAACAAAAATATTCTTAAACGCATTGTCTATAATCATAAAAAATTTTTGATAGGTAATTGAAACCAAAACTAAAACTCTTGAAATATGAATAAGAGAGTAAATAATAAATATATATAAATGAGACTATCATTCAATTGATCTATTTTGAATTGAATATCAAGATGGGTAATAGGTGGGAATGTTTATAATTACTATTTAAGGAAAATAATAATTTCAATAATTTCTTCAATACTATATGATAGAAATATAAGTATTGTTAATTTATAAACAAATTATCCTTCAAGTTGATTTGCTTTGGCACTTTTATTTGGAGAGAAAGAACTTATTTTATCTTTTTTTATGATTAACTGCTAAAAATGAAAAATTATTAGTCTTTGATAGTATTTTTATTATTTTTTATCATTTTTGAAAGTTAAGATGGAAAAATGATTCTGTTGTAAATAAGACCTAAATATATTAAATTGCTTAAAAAATAATATTGGTTAATGTTTATTAAGTAAAAAATAAATTCTCAAGCTCATGTAAATCGGAATTTCACAAGATAAATATATCATTATGATTGAATCTCAAGTTTTCAAATGGAAATGATAAAGGGTGATTTATTATAATTTAAATTAAAAAAGATACAAATGTTTCTTTGTTAAAATTTAGAACATGAAGGAAGTTCAATTATCAGTTTTTGCCTTTCTGCTGGTTGTCAGGAACCTAAATAGCAATTTAGCGCTAATTGTTTAATCAATCCCCAAAAACATTAAAATTGTAGAATTGACTGCAAGCCATTTGATAAAATCAAAACACTACTAGATTTAATTCTATATAAGCTAGATAAAATGTTAGAATAAACTGATTAGAAGTTTGAATTGTTAAAGTTAGAGTATGAAAAAACAATCAAAATTATTTAAAAAGAATAGCAAAGGTTTTAGGAGATAGTCAAAAACTTGAAAGAATAAAAATACAAGGAATTTCTTGATAATATTGGCAAAATTAAGAATTGGAATATAACAGTAAAGTCGACTTAATTTGAGTAAGAAATTATTGATCTCTGTATTCGTAATATGTTACAATTAGGGTTGAAACAAGGAATCGAATTAATAAACTAAAAGGAATACTAAAGCGCTTTTGTAAAATTTTGGAAAGTTTTAAAAGAAGACGCAAATAATTTTTTGGCATAATTTTACCAATTTATAATATAATAGAAATAAGGTGTTACATTATTTATTAATTAAATGAATTTCTTATGAATGCAATAGAACAACAATTATAAATCTTTTTAATTGTTAAGGGAATTATAAATAAAATATCCAAATTTTTAAGAATAAGCTTTATTCACTGTAAAGGAAAAATTAAGAATTAAAAGCAATAATATAGCTGCATTGATATTAAAAGTATATTGTATGATATATTTGGATGAAAAAGAAAAAAAATAAGATATTTATCAAAGCATTATGATATATTGTGATACTATTTTAGGTTTAGATAAATCAATTGTTTGTGCTCTATGGATGAAAAGTATAAATTTAAATAATTAAAAGTAAAATCATTATGTGAATAGAAAAAATATTAATAAGCGATTATGAGTGCTGAAGAAGGTTTGATGTTGAATAACAACAATTGTCATTTACATTGTATAAAAGCTGAAAAACAATAATTATGATAAGGTATTGTGTTATAAGAACTAAATTAATTGTAAGAAGCAATGTAATTTTTGATAAAGCCATTTCTTTTGATCCAAATAATGTTGATGCCTATAATGGTAAAGGTTTTATCCCCATAATTGAATTTTAGGCATTAGTTTAGACAATTTGAAATAATATGAATAAGCAATAATCTGCTATGATCGAGCCATTTCAATTAATCCAAATTATGTTATAGCTTATTATATTAAAGGTATTATTAATTTTATTTTAGCAATTTCCTTATAATGTTTGAACAAAATTATATAATCTATAAAAAATTACTAAACTGCATTAACTCTGAACCATCCACCTCATCAAATTTCATAAATCATTAACTAACTAAGAACAGAGTTATGATCATGAAAATCATTCGAAATAAAATAATTAATTATTTTTTTTTAATAAACAATATTTCCATTTCATACAAATGGATACTCCAATTCCCTTTAATATTATTTTATATGGTTCTTATCTAAACATATATTATTGTTTAAATCTATAGCTAAAATCTCTTA